AGATGAAATATACAAATAGATAAGGAAAAATTTATAAAGCTGAACAAAAAAAGAAAAGGCTAGATTATTTTTCTTCATAACTCCAACAGGATGATTTCATATTTTACACATTTGTATAAAACAATTTGCTTTGCTCCACATTAAAAGGATATTGAAAATTAAGATAATTTAAAATGTTGCATATAAATGCATACCCTACACTTCCTATATATCTAAACATGGAAGTTCCAACACCTTAAAGAATTTAAAGCATTAAGAAGTTTGGCATTTAGAATGTCAGCAGAAGTGCCTTTGACATGATGTTAAATTGTGTTAAATTAAGCAAATGAGCTCAATGTAATAATTTACTTAGTAATATTTATTATATAAAACATTTAATTGTCCTGAAACTTATTTTCATTCTATAGCCCTTTTAGCCATATTTTAAAATCCTCTATGAGTATGTTTGCACATGCATGTGGCAATGAATTGATGTGTACATTCACTGTACTCTGGTTCTTAGCTCATGATTTCTTGATTTTTTTTTTTTCTTGGTAGGATGACAATTAGCATACATGAAGATAAACAGTCTCTATGAGATAATTCTTGATTTCTTTAAAAAAAACTTCATTGATTTTATAACTTTTTATTCTTCAAAAGTATTGCGACAATAGCTCATTACCTACCATAATCTGTGATTTTACAGGACACCAAATACAGCTCTTTTAGGTTTTGTCCTTCCTTTGCAATGACCTCCACACATCTGAAACACACACAAAAAAGTGGTGAGTTATACTAATGCATTTCAAGTTAAATTAGGAAGGGTTTAGCAACAAATATAACAGGAATAGGTCACAGTTCTCTTCTTTCAACAAACCCGTTTCGAGGTGTTTCAGGAAAAGGTATTATATTCCCTGCTTTAAACTCAATTGCTCTAATACCTAAATGACTTTAATTAAATACATCTATGACTAGTACATCTTTTAAAACCAAAGAGATGAAAAAGAGATATTCTTATATTCCTATAAGAGTAATGCTACCTTTGGTAATAAATGACTAGTAAACATATGCTATATAATGAATATATATCATTTACCTAATGAAATAATATAAAAATAATTATAATAAAACTCTAGAATATAGTTGAATTGTAATTATAGGTAGATGATAATATTGTTTATGGTTCAATTATTAATGACAAAATTTGATAACACTGAAATATACATTTTTATGGAATTTAATTCAAGAAAAAATGTAAAAATGTAACTTTCATAAATTAAAGATGAAAGAAAAATCTATAAACATAAGCAGTACACATTAAGAATTTAAAAATTTTTTACTCTTAATACTTTAATTCAATTTTTGTGTAGGCTTAGGCCATTTTAATGATATAGATACAAATAGTTAAGATTTAGAGTCTTTTCTGGTTTCACTTATGTTAAAAGATTTTCAAATGGTTCATTCTGCTCTAATAGCCCTAGTGGAACCTGTAGTACAGAATTGAGTGAACTTTAAAAATAACGATTAACAATACTATACATTTTGTGGCTTAGTTTCCTTAATATCAGAAAACATGTGTAGTCATACTGACACATAGGCATATGCGCCCTTCAATGCAGTCCCCGTTTTAATCTTTATAAATAACAGTTAAGTAAAAGGGTAAAAGCAAAAAGAGTCATTAACCTTTTCTAGGAAGTAAGGATGAAGTAATTTGATACCTGTGTGGTGTATAATCCATCAAAAAATTACTCAGTATCCATCTTTGTCTTTCAGATATTTTATTTGCTGTCTGGCTTATTTGTAGGTATCTTCATAAAATGTCAGAAATTTATACAATTTTACTTGACATAATTCATTATTGAAGGTTAAATATGTTATAAAGAAGACATATTTTTTCTTTTAAAATATTTTTCATAGAATTTTGTTTTAATGGAATGATAAACAGGTTTCCTCAGAATAACTGAATAACATTCTTTTTTGACTCTTTTTAAAAAAAGATTTATGGTAAAACGGAAAAGCTTTTCTATGCCTATGACAGAAACTTAAAACAGTAACACCATGCAATTATGAGTGGTACAGATTATTGTGAAGGGAAATTTTAAAACCTAATTCCATGTCATTTGGTTTTAATGTAACATTTGAATAAGTTCACAAAAAAAGAAAGGATAAAAACAGACATGAAACATTACTGACAATAACATTTTATATACAACTTAAAAACCTAATTTTCACATGCTAAGAGTAAAAATAAAGGTCCCAGATAATTGCAAAATCCTAAATTATTACAAAAAAAAATTGTGACCACTTTCTGTCAAATCAAG